GTGTGTGTGTGTGTGTGTGTGTGTGTGTGTGTGTGTGTGTGTGTGTGGTTAGTTTTACAATGAGATTATAATCCTAACGAGTAGAGTTATATGTCGATGGTTCGTAATTGTTTACTTGCTGCTGGAATCTATTTACTTGTAATAAATAGCAATTTTTGTATGGAAACCTGGTCTGTACTTTCTGTCAATCCGGGTCTAAAATGCAGGTAAATTGGGGAATTTTGAAGATTTAATAAAAAAAAAGGTTAACCTTTATGATGGCTCTGGGAATAGCAGGGCTTGATTTTCAGCATGGTGCCCCTGTGAGGTGTAACATGGAAAAACAGTCAGTCAATAAGGCATAAATGATCTAGCCTTTATAAATACAGACATAGAATACATAAGCAAGGAAGTTATTGTGAACTTTTTTTGAACACTGATTCTACCTCAAGTGAAATATTGTGTTCAGGTCTGCACACCACATTTTAGAAAGGATGAGAAGGCGATGAGTGAGTGAACACCAGTGATTATCGAAGAGTTTCAGCAATGAATGATTTCAGTTACAGGCGTAGATTGAAGCTGACTCTATTGTACTTAAAGGAGAACAGCCAGAGAGGAGATTTTATAGAGGTTCTCAAAATGATGAAAGATAGTCATATCAGATCATAATGCAAGTGATTCCACTTTAGAAGGAGCTAAGGTGAAAAATTTGAGATTTTTATGGCCTTCGATGTGATCTGATTTAATATTGAAACAGTTTTAAGTAGAAGTGCCTTAAATACATAACATCTTGCATAATAATTTATCTTTTTCTTTTGTTTTAGTTGTACAATTGCAATTTCCTCAAAACTGAGTGACTGCTTCTTTGTTCACAATGGCATTCAAGAAAAAATCTCGAAATCTTGCACCATTGGATTCTAATGTCATACTTGGGACAATCTCACCAGGTAAGGAAAACTTTAAGGGAATCATATGCAGTCTTCAAAATAAAGATATCAGTTAGGTTTGTGGCATTTATTCCATTCTTCCTTTTTGTAATAACCCTTGGGTTCAATGGTGAGACATGAAATGACCAGTGTTCCTTGTTTTCAAAAATTCTAATTTGAATATCTGATGATACTGTGGTTTTAGGAGGTGCATTTTGTGCTTTTTTTGGAAGAGAGGTCTTAAGGCAGAGGTACTGAGCAGTCTGCCAAAGCCAATGTTTTTTTAAAAGTTCGAACAATAGAAGCAGCCTGAATGGGTGTGGTCAAGTTCCCACAAAACCAGGATTTTTAGTTTTCGGCAAGAGGTGAGCTTGACTGCGACAAGGAATTATTTTTCTTGTTACAATAGTTATAAGTTGTTTTTATCGTTGCTTCAGGGAAACCTAAACTCACATTAATTTTGCAATGGAAAAATAATATATGCAGCTCCTTTCATTGTATTTTGTTACCAATTTATAACCTTAACAGCACTTTTGTTGTAAATTACAGTTTTTAATGTATACTGCTAACTAGCTAGCTAGTAAGGCCATACATTTAAAAAAAAAATACGTGGGTGACCAGTTGATGATTCAGTAAATAAATCCGCTGCCAAGGCATGAATATACTATGTTCTCACATCATGGATGTTACTTATGTAAACATTTCAAAAAATGACATCCTCAACTTACTAAAAATGTAGGAGAAAGGGAAAAAAAAAGTTTGCTATGTTGATAGAACTGTTGTTTCTCCACAGTTCAAATGATCTCTGTTGTGTACTGATTACTTTCTTGCACACTAAGCAGCTCTATTTATAGTGTGGTGCTTTCACCAACTTGCAGGAGAAAGCAACTGCAAAGAAAAAGAATTACCTTATTCTGCCCAATTATCCAAGAGCCCTTTTACTCATTATCATGAATAAATATCAATGTTAATTAGAGCAAAATTGTAATGGGGAAAGAAGTGCTTTGCAAATATATTTTTGGTTACTGCGGTCTTCTCCAGCCCCGGAATGGGTGAATGAGAAAAAAGTCAGCAGCACATGAAAAGCAGTGTGTCCTTTTGCTGTTGATGACTTTTGTGGCTTCTTCCATCACAAACCTCCCTTTTTGTTTTGTTCTGCTGAGGTCAACAAGGTTTGATTTGAAGCTCCAATAGATAGTATACTTGCATACACTAATTCCAGTTAGAACGTGATGCTCACACTCATGATGTAGAATTGGTCAGTGTAGAATAATGTAACCTATAACATTAGTCTGACAGCATCATGATTTCAAGTTACCATTGACCAGAAACTGAACTGGACTTGTCATACAAATACTGTGGCGACCTGAGCAGGTCAGAAGCGAGAAATCTTGCATCAAATAACACGCTTCCTGACTGCCCAAATCCTGCCAGCATCTACAATGCACATGTCAGGAAAGTGATGGAATACTCCCCAATTTTCTGGATGAGTGCAGCTCCAACAACTCTCAAGAAGCATACAGCATTCAGGACAAAGCAGCCCACTTAATTGGCACCACATCCACAACATTCACTCCCGCTACCATCAATGCTCAGTAGCAGTAGCATATGCCAACTACAAGATGCCCTACACAAATTCACCAAAGACCCTTCGACAGCACTTTCCAAATCCACAATCACTTCCATCTAGAAGGAGAAGGGCAGCATGGGAACACCACCACCTGCAAGTTTCCCTGCCAAACCACTCATCTTTCTGACTTGGAAATATATTGCCATTCCTTTAGTATTACTGGGTCAAAATCCTGGAACTCCATCCCCAACAGCATTGTGAATGTGTGTACACCAAATGGACTGCAGCAATTCAAGAACCCAGTTCACCATCACCTTCGCAAAGACAACTATAAATGCTTGTCTAACCAGTGTTGCCCACATCCTGTGAGTGAATTTAAAAAAATGTTTGGAATGGAGAACCAGGATTTATGTGGTGTAAAAGCATGCAGTACAATACTAATCTATATAAGCTTAGCATAGTCACGTGAAATTCTTCTCTACCATCTTAATGGAGGTGTTATGTGCTAGACCAATAGTTTCTAGGTTTTTTTTACATTTGAATGTGAGGATATGTGCTGCAAATGACAATATTTATATGTTCACTTAATCAGCCTGTCTTGTCCTGGATGGACATTAAAGTCCTGAACCTGCTCAGCAGTTTAATAAGATTATGACTGATGTGATTGTAACCTCAAATCCATATTCCTGCTTATTCCCTGATAACCTTTCACCCTCTTGCTTAACGAGAACAGTCTATCTCTAGCATTTAAAAATATCCGAGGACTCTGCTTTGACTTCCTTTCAGGAAGAGAGATCTAAAGACCAACACCCTCTGAGAGAACTTTTTTTGCCTAATCTCTATCTTAAATGAGTGTCTGATTTTTTTTTTTTCTTTAATTCAATCACCTCTAGTTCTAGATTCTCCTATAAGATGAAACATCTTTTCACGTCTATCCTGTTGACACCCCTCAGGATTTTGTTTCAATCCCCTTACTCTTTTAAACTTAAGCAGAAATTTGACTTGTCTGTTCAACCTCTCTTCATAAGACAATCTGTCTATTCCACCTCTTAGTATAGTAAACCTACTCTGAATTGTCTCTGACACGTTTACATTCTCCCTTTTAAATAAAGGTGACCAATACTATGCACAATACTCCAGAATGCAGTTTCACCATACTGGGAGTTACAGGAGGCCTTGGCCTGTGTCCTGTAAAAGGGAACAGATGGTGTCTGCCAGGGTGGTTGACACTTTCCATAACTGATAGACATCAGAGGTAGCAGAATGCATGATTGATACCAAAGACCATATTTTAAAACAGAATTAAAACCAAGAACTGTAACTGAAGCATAACCTCCCATTTGTGATTCAAGCATGAATACTGTGATTCTAGCATGAATACATTCAGATCCCTATGTATCTCAGAATTCTGCAATTTCTGATCATTTTGGAGAATATGCTTCTTTTTCATTCTTCCAGCCAAAATTTACAATTTTATCGATTTTGGATATTAGACTCCATTTGCGAAAACTGTGCCCACTTATTAACCTATCCATTTCTTTTTGAAACTTCCTAATGTCCTCTTCACAAATTACTTTCCTATCTATCTTTGTCATCAGCAAATTTGGCAAATGTACCTTTCTGGAGAAGACCTGCAACCTTTAAGTCCACTAAACATCATAGAGGAGTTCAACTTTCTAAATATGTACGTATATTAAACTGTAAATGAAAGGAAATATAAATCCTGTGCTTACCGTTTTTGATTTGGATGAGAAACTCAGCTAATCTGGCAGCATCTGTGGAGAGTAAAACAGAGTTTATGTTTCGAATCCAGTGACCCTTGTTTCAGATTTCCAGCATCTGCAGTTCTTGGTTTTAATTCTGTTTTAAAATGTGGTCTTTGGTATCAATCATGCATTCTGCTACCTCTGATATCTATCAGTTATGGCAAGTGTCAACCACCCTGGCAGACACCATGTGTTCCCTTTTACAGGACACAGGCCAAGGCCTCCTGTAACTCCCAGTAAGTACCTTTTGGGGATCTTCAAATTAATTTGATTATTTTTGAAAAGAAACTTGTTGCTGCAGCTTTTTCAATTAATTTATTACATGTAAAGCACTTCAAAAAACTTTCTGAGCAATGTATTGATTAACTATGTAATGCATGTTTCTTTTCAGAAGATGCAATCCAATCCAAATGATCTTTCCAAATTGGATAACTTCACCTTGTCTGAATTTTATGGAGAGCACTGTTTCATTAAACACTTTTTTTTGTTTTCAAAATTTGAACAGCTAATCAGTACCTTGTACGTCTGATTGAGGATAAAAAGGAACTGTCTTTCAAAAAACCAACAGAGGAAAGAATGAACTTGGTGTTTCAGGTATTAGATGACCTCTTGCCACAGATGGGCATATTTACCAGAATACTGAAACTCAGAGATGAACTCTATGGTAAGAAGAAAGTTATCAGTATTCCCTTCCTACAATCATGCAAATGTTATTAGGTACAGGCAGTCAATCAGTAATGATCTATTTTCCACTTTAATAATGTGAAAATGTTGAGGATTATTTTGGCGAAAAGATGAAAATAGGCATTAAATTGATGGTGCTAAAAAGACATTACTCTTCAAAACTTTGGTTTTAGCAAGTTATTTTGGTAACAATTAGTGATTTCTAGAATTTGATCTTTCCTGAAGGTACTAAATCAGAGACGTGCACTCATGCAGACATTATTTCTTACGAAACAGCAGTATACGTGGATTCCGTACACCTGCTTCAACTGAAGATTTGGAGTGTGATGACTGATGCACAGCAACAGGTTTCAAAATGACAAGGATTGAATGAGGGTGCACATATTCTCAGATATGGCAGTGGAGGCTCTGGTGGAGGAGATCCAAAGCAGGCTGGGAGTCCTCTATCCACAAAGGAAAAGAACTCACCTTGTGTTTCTGTTCCCCTATCACTGTCTTCTGCACCAGCTTGTGCTGCTCTGGTCAGCTTCAATTCCTATTCTCTGCGAAACTAAGTAGGCAAGTGTCAAGATGCTGATAACTTGGTCTTTCTTTCTCTGGGTAATTCCTTTAAGATAGAGAAGCACAACACTTCCTCTTTTTAGATAAAGTCTGAGAAAATTTTCCAGAAAAGATCTGTTAAACAAACACCGAATGCAAGAGAAACTCAGGTCTGGGAGCATCTATGGAGAGAGAAACCGAGTTCATGTTTCAAGCCTGGTATGATTCGTCAGAAGTGAAAGGTTATGAATTTTTTTGTATATATACTTTTGGCACAGGTGGAGACCCAGTGCAATAGACCAAAGTATTGATGGTAGTAGAAAAACAGAAAAAGAGATCTAAAAATGTATGTAAATTCAGATGTGAAAGGGAGATAATGCATCTTCTCTACTAAGAGCAAAGTAAACTAGACAAAACAAGGCATAGCTGTGAGGGGCAAGGAGTGAGAGAGAGTGCAAAAGTAATGGAGAACGTACATAATGTGGTCAGTTTCTGAAGTTATAGAATCCAGTATTGAGACTTTATAAAGACCTAAGGTGAAAATGACGTAATGTTCCTCGAGGCCTAGGACAGAAATGTTTGAGAGTGAGGAAGATGGCTTATTAAAGTGACTAGGATATTCGGGTCATTCCAATAGACAGAGTGGAAGTGTTCCACAAAGTGGTCACCAAGTCTGCATTTCATTTTGCCAAAGTCAGGGAGCCCACATGTGAGCAGTAAATACAGTAGGTTAGATTGAAAGAAGTAATGGTAATTACACAGGGCAGCTGTCTCGTTAGAGAGATGACTGGTGGTGGTTTAACCTGACGATCACCACAATTCAGGTGAAGGAAAAGGTTGAGAAGGAGAGTCCTTCATTTAACCTCAGCTGGTGAGGGAATTGAACCCATGCTGTTGATATTATTCAGAACTACAAGTAGGATGATGCTTCACCTGGAAGATGTGTTTGGGGCCTTGGACAGTGAGAAGAGAGAAGGTAAACGGGTAAGCATGGCAAGATGTCATGGGGGAGTGAGGAAGTGTTAGCAGTGATGGAGGACCAAGGTATCACTGAGGGTAGGATTCTTGCAGAATGCTGACAGTGGAGGGGAGGGGAAGATATTTTTGGTAGTGGCATCCTTCTGAGGTGATTAAAATGATAGATGATGATTCTTTGAATGTAGAGAGAGTGGTAGAGTGGAAAGGAAGGACCGTGAGAACCCCATCGTTTTTCTGGAAGGTAGGAGAAGGGGTAAAGGCAGAAGTGCAGGAGATGAGTTGGGCACGGCTGAAGGCCCTGACAGTCACAATGTGGGGGGTGGGGGGGTGCGGTGGGATGTATCCTCTGTTGATGATAAAGGAGGTCATGTTGGAGGCACCCTGTTGGAAGCTGGCATCATTAGAACAGATGAGACTGCGAAACTGGAAGAGTGGAATGGAATTCTTGCAGGAAGCATGGTATCGGGTGTAGTTGAGGTAACTGTGGGAGCTGATTGGTTGTACTAGACATTGGTGGACAGTCTGGCCGCAGAAATGGAACAGTGAAGTCAAGGAAGGGAAGTCAGAGATGAGCCAGATGACAGTGACAGAAAAATGGAAATTGGGAAGTAATTGATAAATTTTTCAACTCCAGACAAGAGTTTAGTGTTGGTGAAAGCTTGGCACAGTTTCCCAGAAAGTCTTTTGTGATGTTTCAAAAGTCTTCTTTCAACTTTCTGCAGCAAGAATAAAAGCTTTAAACAGCGATTGAAACTTCCTGCAACAATTTGTAATTGTTGTAAGGAGAATGATATTTCAGGAAAATGACATGCAGTCTCAATGAATACCAGCTGTTGATTTAAATGTCAGTCAGCTTTTTATGATCCTCTGGGTGGAAGTTACTTTTGCCAGTCTGAGTCTAAGATGGTCTCCAGTACAAAATGTGGCTAAAGAAGCATTTAAGGTTAAGACTGATTTTGCCCATTTTGAAGACTCTTCACTGACAACTGAAGCAATTTGTATTTAGTCAGCACCTGACAGGAACAAGAGTGAGAGGTGTATTAAATTAATTTAACTGATTTTCTTTCTGTCCATAACAGGGTTGGTTTTTAATTTATTTGCCTTGCTTTTTAAGAAAGGAAAGGAAAATGCGAAGTGATTTGTTTCCCTCAAACCCTGTTTGTGAAATCCAATTTAAAAATGACCCAATTCAAATTATTTAGAGTTAAAACAAAGTAGTGTTTATTAATGCATTCAATACATGGGGAGTGACATGCAGTACACATCACAAACATTTGCATCCAAGAAAGAAAGGGGAATAAAGGAGAGAACTTACAAATTGCATATTAATTATTCACATGAATCCGAGAGTCCAGTGAGTCAGCTTCCAGTGGTCGTACATTTGAAGAGATTGTGCACAGAGGTCCTTATTGTAGCGCCTCTGCAGTCTAATTTTCGCTGAAAAGGGCAGCAGTTGTAACTGTGGAATTGGTTCACTTCGCAGATGAAATCTCGGATTCCTTCCAAAAATCAGACTTTTCAAAGTAAGTGAGGTCAGAGGCAATTGTGAACTAAACCTGGAGCTGCTATCTACATTCTGTTCTGGTGTTACAAGCAGAATAAGGAAAGAAGTCAATAATTGTATAATTAAAGGTGAATCAAACAAACCAGTAGTTTCCCTCAGTATGAATTATCTCAGCCATTCAGTAGCTGGGTGAGCTTGATTTTGCTGTTCTGATTGTATTTGTAGCAGATAACTATGAAAGCTGTTCATGCCATCTCAATAATTTCCTTTCCAGAAGTTGCTGAGGTAGACATCGTTCATTTTGTTTGACTGGAATGCTCATATGGATGAATGTTTGACATTCTAAAGATGAGTTAGTTTTTGTCCTCGTAATTGCTAGAAATGTCTAGGAACAGTCAACTTACTCATTCTGTTTTATAGCAGCTATCTTTTTTGGGCTCTATAACATTTTATTATTTTATAAAAGCCACTAAATATATATAATGATATGTATTAAATTTGATTTTCAATCTTATTCATGGAAGTGCCATTTGGAGAGATTCATCTCCAATATATTTTAGACTACACTTTGATGTGCTTAAGTTCTTGATATTTACATATTTAGTTGAATGACCACATTAATTTTTCACTGAAAAATGTCAGGTTAAACTTGCTCAGTAGCAGATTTTCAAAAATGTTTTAATGTGATGTCTTGCAGCTGGAATATATAGTACCAAAATTACTGGGAGTTCAGCACTAGAATCCAGAATGGCTGCTGCAATCACACGAGCACCTTACTTCAGCTTGTTTCATCAATTACAGGAAAAAAGGTTAGTGATAATAGAATTATGAACCTGTTTCATGCATGTTACAGGTTAGATGACATGGAAAATTATTTCATTAACAAAGATGATAATGATTTAGCTGTAATTCTCAAAGAGTATTTCTACTGTCAATGAAGTACAAAAGCACTAAAAATAGCTGTTAACTGCTATTAGAAAAATGAAACTATGTTGGCCATAAAATGTTAGTCTTTATTTTTCTTAACAGAGAATAAATATTCTTTTGTTACTCTTGACCAATGTGGCTGGAATGTACTCTGGTTTAGATGTTGTGATACACTCTTAAAAACAGTTTTGATCAATGTTTCCAGTTTATTTTCAACAGGTGGTTTAGTTGAGATGGTTTGACTAGGTTCACTTGGTACTAGCAACATAGTGTTTTCAGCATGACGTAGTTGCCAAGTTCAACATTTTTATGAAAATATAGACTTAAAGAATGAACAGAGTTCTCTCTGCAGCACATATCATTTGGTGATTTGTGATAGTCAATTCATTTCTGAGCAAATTTTAAATCCTGTTTAATCTTCATATATCTTTAGCTTTTTTGGTTAAGTTCACTGCCTAACTCTCTGACGCAAGTTGAATGTTGGATGTCACATTTTTTTTATGCTCATGCCAATTGATGGACATGATCTGTTTCCAGACACCACTTTAGTGTGATTGTGCCATTGTAGAAGAGTGCTTCACTCCATTCATCTTATCTGATTGTATTGTAAACTGAAGATGTGAAAGGATTGTAAAGTGATTTATCAGAACTTGAAATACACAGGGGCAGCGGACAGATTTCCTCCAATCAGAAATTCTGTCTTTCTTGTGCTTCTACGATCTCTGGTTCTTTCTCTCCCACTCTTGCTGCTCCTGAGGAGAACACATCTGTGGTTGATTGGGGAGGAGCAACAAGGAAGGGAAGTAGGAAATCTGTGATTGGAGGAGGTATTCTGGTTGGTCCTGGGCAAGAGGAGGATTTCAAAAAATCTGAGCTGGCCTGTGGGAGCCCTCATTCGGCCCACTTAAACAAAGTGCGTGCACATTTGGGCGGAACAGAAGTTGCAGCTGGCCGGAGGTTGTAGGAGGGCTTGGGGTGTTCTGGACTCAAACTGCAACCATGGAAATAGGGGACATATGGAGGTGCTGGCTATCGTGGCATCATTCCTCTAATGTTGCTTTATTTTTACACTCAAGATTTGAGAAAATGCACTATTTTGATTTATCACTTACTTCTCCTTAAGTCTTTTTTAAATTTAAAAATCACATTTTTAAAATAAAGTTATTTTTAAAAATAATCATATTTTGCTTTCTGGTAGTTTTTTCAGTTGTGCATGACCAAGTATTAAGGTGCCTGTCAAATATGAAGAAACAGTAAGTTTTGACATGCTACTTAACAACCCATCACAGAATGTTTGCATGTGGGTTAAGTGGCAGTTGTGGATCCCACGTCTGCTGAGGGAGTGGGAGGCAAGCAACTGGGAAGAGGAACACGAGTGTCTGGAGTTTGAGAGATTTATTTATAACAAATAAAAACATCCTATTTATGGATTCCAAGTTAAAAGTTTTAATTTACACTATGTACCATATTTGGCAATTGTGCCATATTATTCCAAAGATGAAAATCCTATCAAAATTCAACTGAAGTTCACGAGGTAACATTACTACATGATTGCAGCATGTAATGAGAGTTAGTGAGAATTAAATAGGAGACCCTGAGAGACAAGAGGTAGACACCAAAAATCAAAAAGTAGCCCTCAAATCTCTTGAAGAACCCTTGCAAAAAAAATTGACCTGATGTGTTTTATTTAGTCAGGCAGATTTCTTCTGCTTTTGGTTATTCAGTACTTGAACTCAGTGGTAATACTGTTAAAAGTTTGGTTGTATGAATAAGTTTGAAAGAGGGGTCATTTTAATTTTGCGGCCTTAGATGTTAACACATGCATGTTTTGATTAAGTTTTGGTGTCTGTTTTCTGTTGATGTATCAGTTGATCTTGGTGTTATTTCTAAGCACAAGCGGAACCATTGTTTCAGAGCATGCATATGCATTTTAATGAATCTGGGACTATGTTTCTGAGAAATATGTTGCATAATATATATGGTATAAATTTCTATGATATCAGAAAGATACTGGTGTTAGTGACCAGGAAACAAAAAAACTTAAAAATGTTGATACTCTTTAACAAAAGTGAACTGTTTCAAGGGAGTATCACTTGTGAGGCTTATTAGTAGTGAATTGTTCTGTCTAAAGGGAGTGTTCCAAGAAACTGACTAGTTAATAGGATTGCCTCAGGGAGTGCCCACCCTATTTAATGCAACATATATAACAACTTGTATTTATACAAGTCCTTTTTAATGTAAGAAAACCTCCCAAAGGGGCTTCACGGGATGAGCATAATCAGATAATAATTGGCATGTAGCTAAAGAAGAAGGCGTGACTAAACATTTGATCAAAGTAGTAAGTTCTAAGAACGTCCTTAAGTGAGGAGAGCGAGTAGGAGAAGTGGAAAGATTTAGTGATTAAAACACGAGTGTATACATTCTCAATAAGAAAAACGCAATCAAAAACTCCAGCCGATAGAACATAACCTGTATGTGATACAATTCATAAAAAAATCACGTCTGGGATAATGATCCTATTGGCTGTTCTTCATAAATAATAAATTTACTTGATTTGTTTCTTATTTCACCAGCGTCCTGTTGCTGCAAGCTGTTTCTTTGTTTGGCTGCTGTAGTGCTGATATATATACAATTCTTTCTCCCAGCCTTAATGTTAGCATCCAGCTGTTGGTATTAATTCACTGACCTTGGTGTCTATCCTGCTGAGCTGGGGAAGTTCTACCCTGGGTGGCTGTCTCAGTCACTGAGGTACAGCCAGTGTTCCACATTTATTTTCTACCTGCCAAAGGAGACTTGAAATCCTAGAAGATTGAGCCAGGTCTTGTCAGTGACAGGAATATACTCTCTGAGAATAAGAGCAAAACTTGCACCTTTTTTGGCCAACTGAAGAATATTTTAACTTCTTTGTGTTTAAGTAATATAAAGGTGTAGGCTCTCTGACTAGCAAATTTTTCCTCCTTCCATTTGGGGTGTAAGACAGATCTTGCTTATTGGTTTCTTAACAATTTAACAGGAGCTTAGCTCCTGTAGGATGAAGTTGTCCTACAAGTTTTTCTGCATCTGTGAGGGGCTGTTTAGTGTTTTGTGGGCTAGATCTTTCAAGAACTGGTAAAACCTGCCAAATGAGGACAGGAACGTTCAAATATCAGTTGAAACTGAAATGTTTTTGAGCTTGTGACCTTTTGAGGTGGGGGACCCAAACTGCTTGCAGGTTGGCCAAGGGCCCATATGAATTTTAAGGAGTTATTTGTGAGGAAAGGATTAAAGAAAGTGTTAAATAAAGTTTAATCTCCAATTCAAACTTCTGACAGCAAGGCTTTTAAATTCTGACAGGTTTTGGGATCCTCCATATTGAGCTATATTATATTGTCACTTGAAAGGTCTAGATTTCCAAATACCTCAATTATATTTTCACATTCATGGTTCTGCTGATATGCTGAATGAACACAATTTAAATCTCAGCTATGAACCTCTTATTAACTACACATAACAATATGAAATTGTTCATGTGAAGAGTGGATCAACACATACAGTTCATGAAAATTCATGATTTTTCTTTCTTTAAATGTTATATTTCAATGAGGGATTTATTAACACTTTAAAAAATACCCTGCTATGCAGCCACATTGCACTATTTATGGAAAGGGTGGATTGAATAAATGGGAAGGACAGGACTTGAGCAAAATCATCTGTACTGGGTGAATACCCAGTCTCTACTTGGTTTCTCTAGCTATGCTTAATATTGCTGGCCCAATTCAGCTTCTGGTTAATAGAGACATTCAGGATTTTGTTGGTGGGCAAATCAGCAATGGTTATCATTTGAGGTCAAAAGAAGATGGATGGACTTCCTCGTATTTCTGGTGGACTTGCTAGAATTTCAATAATATGAGGTAGCTTTCATATCAATTAGCCTAAGTTTGAACGTTATCTAGGTGCTGCTGCTAACAAATGCTGCTTTATTATGGGAGAAACAGTGGAACAGGAGTAAGCTATTCAGCCCATCAAACCAGTCCCAGCATTCTAGATCATGACTGATCATCTCTTCAATGCCACTTTCTCACACTACTATCTCTATTTCCCTTAATGACATCAGTTCCAGAAACTTATCAATTTCTGTCTAGAACCTGCTTATTCATTGAGCTTCCACAGACTTTTGGGGTAGAGAATTCCAAAGATTCACCACCCTCTGAGTGAAGAAATGCTTTCTCGTCATCTTAAATGGCCTTTCCTATATCTTGAGCTTTAAACCCCCTGGTCCCAGCATCACCAGCTAGGGGAAACATCCTATTTACATCCACCCTGTCACACCATGTAATAATTTTCCAAATTTCAATAAGGTCACCCCTCATTCTTCTAAACTCTGAGGAAACAAAGTCTCTATTCTCTAATCTCTCCTTGTAAAACAGTCCTGCCATCCCAGGGATTAATGTGGTGAACCTCTGTTGCACTCCCTGTAAGGCAAGTATATCCTCACTTAGATAAGGAAACCAAAAATTTATACAAAACTCCAAATGAAGTCTCACCAAAGTTCTTAACAACTGCAGCAAGTTTTGCACTCAAATTTCCAAGAAATAAATGCCAATATACTGTTTGTCTTTCTGATTACTTGCTGCACCTGCGTACTATTGTTTAAAAGCTCATGGTCAAGGACATCAGTTCCTTTTGCATACTCATTTCCCGATTTGTCATTTTAAGAAATATTCAACCTCTTCTCTGCAAAGTTAATAACTTCACATTTATTTACTTTATATTCCATTTTCCATGATCTATCCCATTCACCAAGGCTGTCCAGGTCCTCCTGAAACTTTGTTGAATCTTTTTCACAATATGGCTGCTTGCTTCTTTTGGCTTCCATCCTACCTGAATTCCTCAACATTTATGG